GAGGGCCACATTAAAGATTGAGGAAATTATTCCGATTCCAGTGCATTGATGAGGGAGTGCATAATGATGGCATAATGAAATCATAGCGTGGAGCAAAACGGTGGCAAAGAAATTGGTGTGCAACAAATAGGTACCATGAAGAAGGCTTAACATCACAATAATCCGAGGAAAGAGAGAATGGTCTGGTGGTTTTTTTGAGATCGATGCGGTGGCGAAGATCTGGGTGAGACGACCCAACTATCTAGGGTTCAGGCGTGAGCGAGAACGTGAACGAGTCGAAGCAGCGCTAGGGCGAGCGGCGACTAGGGCCCGTGTCGAAGCGACGGAGTCCTGTCGGTGATGTAGCCGTCGTAGATGTCGTAGAGGTCGAAGGTCGGGAATCCGGAATCGGGGAAACAAAGGTGCTAGGGTCCAAAAAGGAGGTGCGTCCACGTAGTTCGGCAGCAAGTTGTTCCGGGCTGTGGTTCAATGTCAATGTGTGAATCAAGCCGAAGGTGGTCATCAACTCATGAGTGTAGTGGAGGGCGGTATGAGTGACCTGCGTCGCTTGAAGGATGGCAGAATCCAGGCCGCGTAATTGCACTTGAAGATGAGGGGAGGGGAAGGGAGTAGAGAGAAGCGCAAAACGAGTACGAAGAATCCCAAGTATGAGCTCCAACGAGGCATGTACATGAAGAATTTCCCGATGAAGTACAGAGAAGGTGGCATGGCGGGTGGCGCGGGGAAGTGTGGGAGAGAACTCACACACTAAGGCTCCGGCAGACTCCAACGAGTCTTGAACAAGCTTCGGCCGCTGCGGCCACGTACGCCGTGCCAAAATGGCTGGCTGCTTTAACCACTGTGGTCGCGTAAAGGCATGAGCCAGCTTGGAATTCAATACTTCAGCAAGTCTTGGCAAATAACTTTGGCCTAAGCCCACTTTGTCCGCTGCGGACTGCTTTGTATCCGGGCAGGGGATACGTTCGACAACCCTCCGTTCACCGGGTCCACAGTGGGCCACTCTGCGGGGTCACCCTGAGCTCTCACTAGGAGAGACACACTTATAGAAATGCGTACTGACTTGACTGCGGCGCCACACGCCGGCCGAAGTGAAAAACCTAAGGAACCAGGACAGGTGTCAGTAAGTGGAGGCCCTTGCTGCAAGGTTGGAGGCCAGCAAGACTCAACACACGAAACGCGAGTAGCGATTACTAACAGAACCACATGAACCGCCATGAAAGCAAACCAGGTAACCAGTTTGGCAGGTACGTTTACACGGGCCCCAGAGCAGGTCTTCCTTGGCCACCGCTCCTCCTGCTGTCACGGAAAAGGAAAAGAAAACATTCCGACTGGAACCTCGTGAACCCAGAGGGGACACACAAACATGCCTCCCCGAGGGGAGGCGAAAACTAAGTTCAAGACGTGTGTGCACAGGTGCACGCAATCAAGGACAAAAAGATGAAGACGTGAAACGAGGACAAGACAGGACAAAAGTGTATGTGGTTGCGATGAAGAGGGAAGCAGATGCACAGGGACAAGCAGTGAGCCAAACCTCATTATCAGAACCTGGGCGACCTGAGACATATATTTGTACAGTGGATGTGCGCGTACAAACTAAGGCCCGGACCGTTGTGCGCGCGAGAGAAAGATTGGAGTGAGATGAAAGGACGTGAAGCAAGGGAAGACATGAAAAGAAAGAGGAAAAAGAAGTGTGTGAAGGGGGAAAGGATGAAAAGGGAACCCAATGGAGGGGACGGGAACCGATGAAACCAACCTCATTACAAAGACCTATAGGAAGACCTGCCTAGTTAAAATGTACGCGCTGTGTGTGCACCTAAGCTCACGAGTCTTGAACAAGCTTCGGCCGCTGCGGCCACGTACGCCGTGCCAAAATGGCTGACAGGGGCCACTCTGCGGGGTCGCCCTGGGCTGGCATGAAGCCAGGCACACTTGAAGAAATGCGTACTGGTGTGAATGCGGCGCCGTACGCCAGCCTAACTGAAAAACCTAAGACGCCAGGAGAACAGGTAGTAGGTTGGAGGCCATTGCTTTAAGGTTGGAGGCCATCGCTTTAAGGTTGGAGGCCATGGAGGCCATCGCCCAAGTTTGGAGGCCATCGCTAGTAGGTTGTACACGCAAGCAAAACAAACGTGACAGCAAGCAGCGAGGTTGGAAGTCATCGCTAATGGGCTTGGAGGCCATAGCACCCGGTTGGAGGCCCACGTTACGAGTTTACAAGACACAAACCCAAAAACAAGGTTGGTCATCTCTAGTGCGTTGGAGGCCATCGCGCCAGGCTTGAGGCCAGCGCTACTAGTTCACAAGACATGAACTCCAAACACAAACACACCAAAGTCTAGTTCTTTAAAAGAAAGCAGGTACGCCGAGTTGATCAGACTCGGTATCCCGTGATTGTGGTAGCTTCTTGAGTGCGGTCCCACAATCACGCCGCACTCCCCTGCAGAAAAACTGAAAACTAAACATCAGCACAATCCGATTGGATCCCTGTGACTTCAAGGGGCACACACACACACACACTGTGAATGGAACCTTCGCAACCGAGCGAACTAACTAAGGGCAAGCAGCAGTTGGTTGTTTCCTGTGAGTGATAAGGTTAGGACGGAGAGAGAGGGAGAGAGAGAGAAGCAGAATGGAGGAGGTTGTTGGAATCATTGTGCTCGACGTGTTGTAAGAAACATTAAGAAACTGTTTTATGTGTGCTTTGAGATTGTTGCCAGATTGACGATCACACTGTCACTTCCCCCCGAGGTTGCAACCGGCAAGCTGGTTGGTCTCAGAAATATTTTAACAGCTTGAGCACCCCAGATGCGATGTGGTGTTGGGCTGTTTTGGAGCCCATGCCTTTTCAGTCCAAGCAACCAGACGTATTTCTGGGCTGCGTCGAGCTGATGAGACCAGCCCAGCTTGACATGCGACGATTTATCAATTTAAGTGGAGAGATGCCAATCACATGCAACCTCACAAACTCCGTGGAATATTTGCTCTTGTTGATGGCACACCCTGACAGTTTTTGTCTGAGATGGGAATTTGAGATGGAAGAGTGATCTCCATCCCCAAGAGCATTCTGCGGCAATTCGCTTGCAAAGCTAAACCGACTCTCGAAACGACTTAAATTTCTTAGCAATTCTTCGGTTCAAAGCGGTACGTTTGTTGTTTGCAGTTGACGGGTCGGTCGAAAAGGATACACGTGCAGATTTATGGCCCGCAAGATGGAGGGAATCCATGTAAACAAGGCCCTTGTAGCTTGCCTTGTTTCAACATTCTTTCCTCCTGCCCACCTGCAGTCCCAATGTGACGGCGGGGGTTTGCTGGGGTTGTCCAAATCATTAGCAAACCAAATTACCAACTATGATTATGACTATGACTGTTCTTAGCAGTGCTTCACTAGAACTGGCAGACGAGAAATGGTTTTAGAAGTAGATCTGTTGCGTTCCATGTCTTTATAACAGTTCGTAAACACGTAACGTACAGTGTTCCTGCCATTGGAATAAAGCGATAGACAGGGAACCTGACCAAGGGCAGGCAAGAAGGATCTTTAGGTACATAAGTAGGCAGTTCTTCACTTTTGCTGTTTGATGATGGATCAAACAATTGTTGGGAGGAAATTGTTTGGACAAAGCTCCTAATGGCCCAACCCAATTACTTTGTGTTTGCAAACACAGTTTTTTTGATTCCCAAGTGCCTGAAGTGCTCGCAGAATCTTTTTGTGATCGGATGCCCGGACATTTGTTACTTTCTTCGAGCAGTCAGGGCACGCTTTCCTTCGCCAACTTCTTGGCAGCTGCGCCTTTTTTAAGTTTAACATTTAATTGTGGAATGGAACAGCGCTGGCTCGGTGAATGTTTCCGTGTTGTTTTAGCTGATGTTTTTTTAATTTGATGTCGTAGCAGAGGGCTCTTGTACCACATATCTTGTTCGCCGAGGGTTTTGGAGTTGATGTTTGTGAAGATTGCCTCTGGTGCTCCAAAGTTCCACAGCAAGGCAGCAGGTGCCCAAGAAGCGAAAGGTCAGAGAAATTATCTCAGCCGAAGCAAATGTGGAGGCGTGCGGCGTGCTCCATGCAAAATTTAAAGTCAACTTCCGTTTTTGGTTTCTTACTAAGAACTAAGAACCTGTCGCTTCAGTCATGAAAGTGATGCGACGGGAGTGTGCAGGGAGGATTGTTCTTGACGCAGCTCAGCAACATGTCCGTTTTGCAGGTGCTAACCCGGAGGGTTCTAGAAGAGTTTGGGAGACGAACTATGCTTGCAGCGCATTGGTGGTGATTTCAACATTATCCCCTCCTGAGGTCGATTTTCAGGAATTTGGGTGAACATGTTTGATTTGGCGCTTGAGTATGCTCTGCAGTGTTTGATTCCAAAAGGAGTTTTCTGGTCCGGTCCTTTTGTGCAACGGAAATTGATGGTTCATCTTTTCAGGTGAGCTTGTCCGGTGGGTTGCTTGCATCTTTTTCAAGAAAGCCCCACCGAAGGCAAGTATTCAATTGATTGTCTCTTCGCTGAGTCCTGCGAGGATTACAGGGTTGGATGCGAAGCATTTTTGAGCACCTTGAGCGAGCTTCTCCTGTGAACAATGCCGGTTTGCCCTCAAGGCTATGACTCTGCTTTTTGCACTCTGATTCTTTCCCCGCGCGGCGTCGCACCTGTTCTTCTCAATGGGTCTCGGTGCAACAGTTTTCTAAAGAGAGTGGTTTCACTTGTTGTTCTGGCTACGCAATTCAGATTGGCAACGGCAACTCGACTATTTTGCCCAACGTGAGGTCGCCCGCAGGAGAAGACTCTGAGAAGACAATGAACAGTTTTGCATATTGGAATTCTTTATTCCTGGCCGTATGCTTTATGAAGGGACTCTGTCCCTTTGTGGATGATTGCCCGTTCCAACCATTTCATGCGGCAGCCACATATCCTAGCAGCCGAGAAAAAGCGCAAAGGGAGGTCATAAGATTATCAATTATCGTTAGAATCAGGATGTGCAATTGTTAATCTTTGGGATTCACCAAGGTGTTTGGAGGCAATGTTGACTGGCATGTTTCAGGCTGAAACAGTTCACGCCTCAGCCATGCTGCGGGAACAGAGCTTCGGTTTCCACATATAAACTGAGGTCAGCTCGGCGCCCACTGTGCTGAATTGGTTGAGGCACAGAGATGAGGGATAGAGGGTTTCAGCCACTTTCTTGCACTGACCAGTTCGCACTTGTTTGGACGTCTTGAATAGAATGTCCAACAGGAACTGCGAGTCCTCACCTCTAAGACAAGGCACCCATCAGGAGGCCGGACTAGGAAAATGGGTGACCTGTTCAACAGGCACTTAGAAATTAGAAAGAAGTAGTTGATTGACGAGACACAAGTCCTGCATGGTGACCCCCCAAGCGTCACAAGCAATCCTTGTATGGTGGAGTCGTGGGGAGCTCTATGGTTTTGCTTGAAGGCAGCAGCTCATGCGCTGGTAGTGGTGGAACTCTTGGATGGGCAAGGCAGTGTCGCAAAGTTTTGTCAGATCAGACATTTACAAGCATTTACACATTTCCAACATGGCAAGGTATATTGGGCAGGATCCCTGCATTCATGTAGATGGAACATCTGACCAACTGACGCGACCTTGGCATGCTTCCAGTGGAACAGGCCTTCTTGACAACCAGATCGAGGCCAGTGGCAAAGCCTTAGACTGAATGTGGGTACAGCGTAGACCCTACCACCTTAGAGAGTCTTGGACCTACTACCGTGCTGTACCTTGAGCACACAACCGGGTACCGGGCGTGATGGGTACTACAGCAGGGCAACTGGACGCGGGCTTCTGGAGTGTCATTTTTGTTCAGAACTTCTCATTGAGCTCGCAGGAGGTGCGCATTTTGATTTTCCATTTTGCAGCCACTTGCAGCTACTTGCAGCCACTTGCAAGTGGCTGCCAAGTGGCTGCAAGTGACTGCTACTTCTGTCCAGAGAATATCATGATTTCTCCGCACGCAGTTCTGAAGAAAACCACAATTTCTGCAATGCTGTTCTGCGAAGAAATTTTGGTTTTCTCCCGAGCTGCGCGCGGAGAAATCATTACTGTAAATAATCCAAGACTTTTCCGAGAAAAAATCCAAACTTCTGCAGAGCTAGCGACGAAAGAATCTTACAGCTTTTACATAAAGAACTCAAAGTACAGTGTTGAAGTTTACTTGCTTGAGTGCCAAGTGGCTGCCAAGTGGCTGCCTGAGCAAGTGGCTGCAAGTGACTGCAAAACCAAAAATCAACATGTACGTCATTTGCTCGCTCTCTGGAACTTCTGTTGAGAATATGTCGATCAGACTTGACGTATACGGTTTCTTTCAACTTCTAGGACTCCAAGAGTAAGAGCGACCCCACTGATTCGATGCCTAAGATGACGCTAACAATCTACACCAAATTTGCTGAAGTACAATGATAAAGAGAACCAAAGGTAGGGAGGCGAGATCAGGACCTGCAAAAAATCGGACTTGTAGGGTCATGGGGGACATGCATTCACCATAAAATAAGATGACAAGAGTCACAAAGCTGTGAATAGAATTCTAGCAAGCAGGTAGCACGTGCCAACTAAAACTAGGGCATGGCAACTACAAATGCACTTCAAGATTCAAGTTCAAATTCACCTTCATCTCTTTCCGGACTTTATTGCCAGGTTGCATTTGCCCGGCTTTGGCAACAGCCGGCCCTGGAATGCCTGTTGAAGTTGCAGCAGGTTGCCCTCAGCGGTGTGGACACCTGGCTACTTGAGAGTGTAAAGGAATGTTGATCAGTTGATCGTAGTGCATACATATACTGTACATTAAATTATCTCTATAACGCACCTTTAAAGCTGAGGGCTTTTGGGCATCTCATGCTCAAGGGCATGCTGGGGAAGTTCCAGGAATTCCTGGACGCGTTGTCCTTGGTCTCTGACCTGTCGTCTCGGGCGGCGTGTCCTCCCATTGCTCGCCTTCCTGTCTTCCGAGATCTCCTTTACATTTCTGTTCGGCTTTCTCATGGCCTGCTTCCTGGCCCTGTTCCTGGCTTCTCACTTCCTCTCCATCCACTATCGGCTACCTCCAGATCAGCGCTGGGCACGTGCATCTACTGCTCCTTCACCTGCTCGATCGACTGCCCCTGAGAGGAGGGCGAGGTTGGCTGCCTATCAGGAGTAGTTGATGAGCCTCCCTGTCACCAAGGCTGACGTGGATCAGTTGGTGCAGGCTTTGAACAGGCTGAGCATTGCGCTGGAAAGGGCTTCTTTGCCTACAGCTGCTGCATCCTCCTCACCTCCATTGAGTTACAGTTGAACCTCCGGCTGAATTCCAAGTGAAGCTTGATAGCAGGCGAGTCTTTGAGGACGGCCCACTGGCTTGCATCCCTCAGCTCTCAATGCTGCTATCTTTTTCGAGGAGCTGGCCGAGAAATCGCACAGACGATGTGGCTAGTTTCTATTTTCGGCTCAAGAAGGCCCGGAAGCTGCCACAAAGAAGCCACCTCCAGCAGACCAACGCAGTTTTGATGGAACAGATGTCCAGCATGATGATTCATTTGCAACAACTTTCCTTCCACGGCCATCCCTCCTTTAGATGAGGTCCCAAAAGCTTTGTCTTTGATCGGCCCTCCTCCGAGAACCAAGCTCAAGCACGACAAGCTCTCCTACCTCAGAAGCCAGAGGATCCGGATGCCATCTTCGCCGGCCAGGAAAAAGATGAGGATCAGGGCACACGCCTTTGCTCAGCAGTCAACCTCACCGCTTTGGTACTTAAAAGGCCATGGATCCTCTATTAGAGTTGCAATCAGGCTTTATGCATTTTTGAATGAAGGGTGTGCGTTCAAAGTCGGGAGAAGCTGCAGGCAAGACTAGCGTTTCGGAGCGGAAACTTTTCTCTTGCTACTGATGCAGCAGACCCGGGCCCGTGCCACTGAGATCCTTGGAGGAGGTCGGGAGCGTATATCCATGCTGGACTATCTTCAGAAGTCCGGAGGCTACAAGAACCAGACGTCTCCTTGATCCAGTGGATTTTGGCCCATGCGGTGGATTCTGCAGCGCTGGAAGATTCATAGATTTAGATCCCGCTCTTTCAAGAACGGGCGGCTTCAATCGTGAGCGCTGGCCGACCTTTCAGCCCTTTTGATGCCGCCTGCGTGAACTGCGACCGCTCTCAGCTTCATCAAGGATATGGAAGTTCTGGCCAGCAAAAGGCCGGGCGCAAAGAAGGGGAACGCTGCCAAGGACACCGCCTCAACAGAAGGACCGGACAGACACTCAAAACGGAAGCCACGTTTCCCCAAGCGCCCTTAAAAAGGCACAGGACAAGTGAAAAGTGAAAAGGAGCGCGTGAGGTGTCAGCCTGTTGTGAGCTGACCAATGGCTGCGCCCGGATTACAAGGAATTCAGAATGTTGGTGGCGCCAAGAGGGCTCTTGACTCCAAATGCGGGTGACTTCAACCGACATGCCACGGCGGGCGTTCCAGATCTTTTCTTTTTGGAAATTGTGCTCGGGGCTCTTGATGAATGCGTTGAGAACTCGTACGCCATTTGCAGCATTTTCGTCTACTACCCTGTATATGCCTCGAAGCGCTTGTGGTTTGACATCGCCACTTTTCCCTTCCTACTACCGAAATTTCAGCAGGATCCCGCGGAACCTCTCTCTCCATCGTTGACGTCGTCTTCACTTGAAAGCGCGCGCTTCATGTGATTGTGATGGCTATCAACTTCTGAATTCTGGCACGCGTGGAGGTTTGAGATCATTTTCCGAACGAGAGGCTTCTCCGACTATGTGACCAAGCTTGGGCCTGAAGGACCATATGCTCAGATGTATCAAACCGCTTGAAGATTGCTACTCCTCATCTGGAAGATGATTTGTTGACGGCGCGCCGGAGGCTTGACCTTCTCCTATGTGGTCGTGTTACACTTCCTGGTGAATACCCTTTGATGCGGGGTGATCCAGCTGAGATCGTTCTTGTGGCAAAGGCCTGGGATGCACAAGGTCTGCTGCGCTGCTTTTCTTAGACTCAGACGAGGAGATGTTCCTGAGCACTCTCAAACGAGAGTCTTTAACAACTTCAAAAACGAGCTTTGTGACCGCCAAATCGGCGGGCAGACTTGTCAAGAAGCGAAGCTGTATGGCCCTTCTAGACTTTCTTCTAGAGCAGATTTAGTTGATCTACGCTTGGATGCTTCCTCTCAGACGTTGAGGATATATTGCGCGGACAGAAGTGACTTCTACCACCAGTTCCACATGACAGACGCAAAGGCTTCTGCAGATACTGCGGGCCCACCTATCCTTGAGGATGAGGTTGTCAAGCTGCCAGCTTATGCTGAGATGCTCCAACTCTCGTCGTGAGGCTTTTGGAGATCAATTGCGTATCAGAGAAGCTGGGGGAGAGAGAGCCTCTGCTCTCCAACCATGTTTTTATCTCCTTCGAGTCCCATTTCAAAGGAACCGCGTTGAGTTTGCCACATCAGCCCATGAGCATGTGCTTCAGAGCTATGGACTACTGGATGATGTTTCCCGGTTGGTCGCAAGCAAGCCGTTCAAGGGTGGCAACCTCGCGCAAGGATTAGTCTTTTTGATGGCTACTTCGCAAGGCGGAGGAGAGTCGTGCGGTAGAATGCTTCAGAAGCAGCCAGGATGCTTATTCTTTGGCAGCGCTCTTGCCTATTCTGGGAAAGGTCCCTCTTCCTCAGTTCTTTCCTGTCCGTCGTCCTCTTCTTGTCGGTCTTCCTAGTTGGGGCACCCAAGTGCCATTGTATGACCGCTCCAAGGATCCACCAGGACGGAGCGCAACAAGACTGAGACCAGCGTTGCCTCAAGGGAGGCCCTCGCTAAAGGAACTGCAGAAATGAATTGTTACGGAACATTGAAGCATTGAACAATGTGTTGCGACAGCAGTTTCCGCGTCGACTTTATGAAGCCGGAAGACGTTTATGTCGAGTCTATCAACAGTGTCGTATCCTGTATCCTATAGAGCCTATAGACCTGAGTACTGCTGCCTTCAGATAATCTGGGAACCAACCCGTTCATCCTCCTATCATTGCAGGAGCCCAAGACTCGGTTTGTTGCAGGCAGGTATCAATGTGCCAAGTGCGATATAGCAGACCTTGTTAGATTGTGTCAAGTTGCTTTCAGAGAGCTTCCTGGACAAGCGCGCATCTGTCCTGAAGTTGCACGCCGGCGCTAGCCAGACTTCCAAGAGTCTGGACGTCAGGTCGCTCAGACCCGGCGGTGCAACGTGGCAACTTCAGGTTACAGCTTTGTTCAACGGCGTGGGCGGTGAATGGTAAAGTGATGGAGACTTACGCGAAGGAGGTTGGTTCTACACAGTTCCTGTTGACATTGTTGGATGAACAGTAGATGCTCGTGATGTCGTTGTTGAAGGCTGATCAGTTCCGTCGCACAAAAATCCCTGCTTCCGCGCGGCGGCTTCTGTGTCGAGACGAGCCCTTGAGGGCTGATGGTACGGGAAGAGGTGGGTGAGTTCTGGAAGGCCATGAGGCCTTAGAAGTGTAGAACCTGCCTGCAAGCAGCAGAGTAAAACAGAGCTGCTTTGAACCGATGCTTTGCACCTTTAAAGCTGAGAGTTTTGGGCATCTCATGCTCAAGGGCCCCGCCCGCTCTGCCCTGCTCGATGCAAATGCAGGGTGAGTTCTTGGAAGGCCATGAGGCCTTAGAAGTGTGGAACCCACAAGCTCCAGAGTAGAATAGAGCTGCCTTGAGCCGACGTTTTTTACATATATATATATGTGTGTAAACACATATACGAGTTCTTTGTTAGACTTTTGGTGTATACATGCTGATATCACTTAGCCCCAGTGCTGTCAAGGTTGATTGCCTTCAATGTAGTTGATGCGGAGACAAGACCCAATGACTAAACTCGTTTTTGCGAACTGAACTTCGAAGAAGCAGTATCAGCTCCTTCTTTTGCAGCTGACATTGCTGCTTCATTCTGTCCAACACTTGCGCGCACTGACCATGGTTGACCTTTGTGACCGAGGGAAGGACCATCAGCTTCAAGAACCCATTTTGCAGAGGTTCGGGAGTCATGAGTCTTATGGCACACTCAAGAGTGGCTTTCCATAACGCATTGTCTCGGCCATAGCGCATTGATTGAGCTGGAGGCAAACAAGTCTCGGTCGCCGCTTCCATTTGTTCGACGCTTCAGAGCAATGGCAGCCGCAGGTGCTTCCGAGTGAAGCCGTTAGAAAGAGATCTCTCGTCAACTCATGTGACCCCGCAGAGTTCCAAATAGCCCTGACATTGACAATGAAGGTGCCTCATGACAACTCACGACCTCCAATCCCCGATGAAGTTGTGAGAAATTGCACTTCTCAAGCAAAGGCAGCAAAGGTGCCTGCTTGGTCCTTTGCAGGCAAGATGGCTCTCTCGTTTGGCCACACTTTCCAACATTTTGAACCCGGTGTCCATGGAGCTTGCTGCGTGGATAGCTGCAGTTTTGAATACGAGTGAGGGGGTGTGAGTCTGAGCGCAAAGGATCCTTAGATACCCTCTCGTCAGAATTCCAATCTCTTGGGCGGTAAGGTATTCGTGCGGAGCCGGATTGGGTACTATGGCGATGGACCTGCAGGCCATTTAGATGCACAAGGTCAAAAGGTTTATGGCTTCTAAATCGAGCTCGTTCTGTGCAGGAGAAGGACGCTTAATTCCAGCCTTTGTAGGGCCCACAGCTTTGAGCACAGCAGGACCACTTTCTTTCTGAGCCAGGAGGGGGGAGCTTCCTTGAACAAGTGCTCGCACTAATGATTTTTTGGAAACTGATCGGAATTGTATGGTTGAAGACCATTGAAGACCTTGTGGTCGTTCCTATCACAGGCTCATTTTTTGTATCTTTGGTTGGGCCCAGAGTGGGCTGCATCATTTGCATATTACGAGTAGGCCTTCCAGACCAATCTTAAAGTGTTCTTGTTTTTTGTTACCTGGTGCTGGTGCCCGTTTCCACATAGAGCGCTGATTCAAAGCATGGGTAGAACGGTAGGGCTCGCTGACCAGTAAGGTTGGCCATGATCGCGCAGCCCACGCAGAACGCCTTGCCCTTTTACGGCTGCCCTTTGGCAGCAAGGCTTTAGTGGAAGAATCTCTGGAAAGTGCATTGTGCTAGCTTCATCCCCATTTCTGAGGTTGATTGCCGTGGAGGACCACGGATCTTGACTCTACTTGAGTCTCCCCAAGGGTCAAAATGAGTCTCGGTGAAGGTACAGAGTTGTTGCAGTGCGTGATCGTGAAGGTGATGCCGAACAGAAAAGTAGTAGTGCCAAAAAAATTGAGATTTTCCGAACAAGCGCTTGAGAAACTGGCCTCTGAAATCCAGTGTGAAGACTTCGATGGCAGATGAGAGGCTCCATGACAAAGCGGTCATTCTTAGAGAAGTTCCGAGCAGCAAGACGGTGAGCGGCGATGGATGGCGACTGGTTTGCTTCATTTCCTCGCAGGTCTATCCCAGTCTTGAAGTCTTGGATAGATTTCATGCCACCATTGGTCAACCTGGTTGCCCGCTTGCAAGATGGAAAGACAATGAGATAATCCTCGCTGAGTTTCTATACACTGGAGCTTGCGTAAGAAGCTGCTTGAAAAGGGACACAAAAGGTGCACGTAACAGTGCACTCATGGCGCGCAGCATTTTGCACTGTCACTTGGCGCTTTAAAGACAACGACATTGGTGTCCATGATGCTGTGCGGGCTAGAAGCCACGGCTCCAGATGCGTCATTTACCATGGCGGACCGCCGTTGCAAAATTCAATTCCCAAATGGAGAGTCTTGGAAGAGCCCTTGGAACGTCCGAACCAATTGTCATCCAGAACACCCCTGCGGGGTTCGCACTTACTTTCAAAAGCAGATCCAAGTGTCGACAATACAAAACATCAATTTTCTGCTTTGTGGTTCAACTTCGTTTGGCCCTGAAACATTTCACAATGCTCTTGGTGTTTGTCTCCTTCAAGCTTGATTGGTGTTTAGTTGGGGTTTGCGAAGGCATGTTTCAGATCCATTTTCCCTATGATTTGATGAACGCCGTGCCCAAATGTGTAGGACCAGAAACATGCCTGAAGTACTTGCTGGGGTCATTTCACCAAGCAGGGGGCAGGACAAAGCAGTGACTTGCGTACTTTGCGGCCAATGCAGTCAAGGCAAGTAGCCAAACGGTTGTTGACGGACACAGGCGTGGATGCAGATATATACAGTAGATGTATTGTATCACCGCAGATGCCTCGTGGCAAGAGTTTCAGTGACAGTTTGCCACAAAAACGCAATTCTATCCAGCGCTGGGATCATCTCTGAACACAAGTGCCCAAATGTGGTGCCGCTCGTGGCGGTCGGCTGGATTGGCAATGGGCCTGGTGGCCCGGTTGGCCCTTCAAGAGAATGGAGGCAAGCGGGAATTGACAATAGCCTGCCGAGCTCGTAGTTGGTTATTTTTCACATGTGAAACCAACGCATCTACTGCACAATAGAAACCAGTCCTGTTTACTAGATTCATCAATAATACTTTTGAGCTCTGAAAGCAGTCTGTGAGCGCAATTTTTTGGCATCACCCTAGGCCCTAGGTAGCTGTCCTCTGAAAATTTCCATCAGGTCCTCCCTAGCGATGCGAACTTCCCCACAAATTCAAGCGCCAGCGCCAGTCTGACAACCCCTATTTGGGTTAGTAGTTGAAAGCCAGGAAACCTCACAACATTTGGATCTGTGTCAAAGGTTGGAGTTGCGATCTGAGCAACAGCTTCTGGAAGGAGATCCTGAAACAGCATTTGCGTTCACATTGATATCAGTTGAGTCAATAATGTAAGGTCTACCGGCCTTTGCAAGCTTTCACGGTGCTTCGCCCTAAGCTTGCAGCCTTGGCACATGATCCATTTATGTTCTCTCCATTGCAATGACGGATGTTACCGAATGTGACCAATGTGGACAGTTGTGAAAAGCTGTGTGGGGCGATTTCTGACTTCAGGCGCCGCTTCAAGAGTATTGCAAGCGCAGAGGCCGGAGCATTGCCGTGGAGGCTTTGGAATACACGGACAAGGGTCCTGACTCTGGCAGATGTTCGCTTTGGCACACGCACGCATTTGGCATTGTAGAATGATCAAACAATAGAACTATATATATATAGATGTGCTTACTTCAATCCAACATTTATGTTTCTCCTTTTTGTTGACAAAGAACTGTGGGTAAGCTGCGGATCGCATTGACAGGTCCAATTTGTTTAGCAGGTGTGGGACTGTCAATCGTCACACTCCTTTCTTTGAATCCAACACAATAAAAGGCTTGTCAGTGTGAAAATGGATTTTAAGGTCCGGAGAAAAGGGTTTGTGGTCATTTTCAACGCGAAGAAGTACAACTTTTGTTTGGCCAGTGTATGCAAAAAAATATCAAAACATGTTAATTAAATATGTGGAGGGTGTCAGGGAGTGGAGTTGCTGTGTAGTGAACTCTCGTAGAGAGGCTTTCATGTGAACATCGCAACATCACAATGCTGTTTTCAGGCGCACCTTGTGCGCGCGTGCCATGAAATCTAGAGAGTAAACATGAATTGATTATGACTCATGACTCATGGCTACCTTTTCAGGCCATGGACCTGCTGAAGTCCGGGTGGAAATACCTGGATGTTCGCCGTGCAGAGGAGGCTGCCGTGGAGCAATGGAAACATATTTAGTTGTTGGTTTTGGAGCTGCTGCAGCTGTGGTGCCTGAATCTATTTGCGTGCAAATTGTATATTACAATAACATGGCATGAGATCCGCCTTCTCATCAGCTTTGCTGTTTGTGGATCAAGAGTCAAGAGTCTGTTGATGCAATAGTTGCAAGAATGGCAAGCCTCATCAGCCTTGTGGTCAATGGTCAGCACCTTCGACCACAGCGTGAAGGAGGAAAGCAGGAACTTGGACTACTTGGAGCGCCAAAAGCATACCGTTCAAAAGCGCAACAGGATGGTATGAAAACGATCACGCAAACTCAGGACATGTCAAAGTTCCAATTTCCCTTTTCAACATTTCTGGCTCTTGGCATCTCTTGGGCAAAGCTAGCATCTTCGATGGGCGCGTCTCGCAGTGCCAACAGAAGATCGCGAGACTGTTTGGTAGTGGGGCTGAGGAGTGGCTCTGGCTGGCATGTTGGATGCTCTTCTGCGCCCACGTTGGGGAACGCGTTGGAGGAAGCTATTAGTGAATGGCAGCAAACTTATGAGCATCCTCGGCTGATTCACACCTCCAAGGCAGCACAGGCTTCGTTGCCGAAAGATCAAAGCATCCCTAGCTGCCAAATGATACCAGAGCCTGTGGTCACCGAAGGAAACAATGTTGCCTTTGGACTAGTTTTTCTTCCATGCAAGTGGGCTTCGAGAATGAAAGATTTGCTTGCAGAGATACAAGAGACAGTCGGTTGGCCTGACCGCGCGCCGCTATTGGGGGTACCAACTCAAGGAGAGAGACTTTGCTTCACATCAGCTGAGCAGGACCCAACAAAGCCAGCCGCCCAGGCTGTTCTTTTGGATGAGGGTTCTTTGGAGACTATCAGCCACGAAAGTATCCGCATACAAGACACGATCGATGCAAACCCTATTTTAAGCATCCAGGCAGGGGCCTGCAACATTTGGATTTACAGCAGTCCTTCCCGTGGGCCCTGAATGAAGGACCTCCATGTAAAATTTGGTGAGGTGATTTCAGCGTAGTTTGATGAACTACTTAAAACACACCAACCAATTAGCAGAACTAAAGAGTTATCTTTTTTGTGCGGAATGCAAGTATTGCAGTCTTTGATACGCTCTTTTAGTTTTTTTGCTGCACACTACAATGGGTTACAGTAGTGCATGGAGCCGAGAAACGCACAGCCGACCAGAACTGCAATATAGTTTGTCAACCTTTACTCAGTTCTAATTACTTCCCCTGCTTGGCTCACGAAAGCGATCTCTGAAGTAGGTTTGCTGAAGTTCTCGTTTGCAGGGGAGGGTCGGTATTTATAGTTGCAAACGATCGAATTGATATATCACTCCAAAAGGCCCTCCCCCAATCATGACAGAACCAATTGTTATCTCCCTGCCCTGTGAATTGATTTGGTGTTGACTTAGGGGGCGGGTTCCCGCAAAAAGACAGCACATCAAGCATAATTTGAGTGATTGGAACCTCCGTATCGAAGCATTTCCGTGCAAGTCTTATTAGAGTACGCCAACGCCTGCATGGGTGGTCATTCTATTTATTGTCATTGCGCAAACAATCTTTACTCTGAGTGATCCCCACCATGACATTTCAATCTAACAACATTTATTGCACGTATTGAAACACTATTTTGATTTTCTTTCTGGCATATTTTCGGACATTCTTTCTGCCATTTTTCTGGCATGTCTTCTGACATTCTTTCTGGCATATCTTCTGACATTCTTTCATTTGACATTCTTTCTGACAGTACTTCCGGCATATCTTCTGACATCCCTACCCCCGTAAGCTACTTCCGGGAGGGGGGACCTCAAAAAAGTAAGTTACATTTTAGGGTGGGTTGTAGGGGGTCTAAAAATGTAACTTACCCCCCCCAGGCACCATCGAAGCGGGTACAGGGGGGAGGGGGGTTCCAAAAAAATGTAACTTGTGGCCTGGCACGTGTTTACTTACATTTCACCACCCCCACCTAGGGTGCGTCGGCAGATCGAAGGGCTGGGGGTTCTGCAAAATGTAACTTGCAAACTGGCAGGCCTGAACTTACACTTTTTAAGCCTACATGTTTGCCACACACCCAACTCCCCCCAGAATTTTGTAAAGCAGTGGGTAGGTTTGGTTGGCACGGATGATTTAGGGCTGGAACTGTACTTGCACGGGATCACTTAGTCGAAGCGGTCAAAGCAGTTGAAACTTACCTGGCTAGTGTTCTCCGATGGAGGCGTCCATAGCAGAATTTCGTGAGAGGCAACCAGCTTGCGAGCCGTTGCCAACTAAAACAGCAGTTGAAGCAGTTGAACCGTAGCCACTTGCAGATCAATTCTTTTTTTCTCGGATGAATCGGAGTCCGCGCCTTCTTTGGGCATTTGGTGGAGCCCAGCCATGTGATGAACTGCACACCCTTCTTGAACAGGAAGGCATCGATAGCGGTGCACTGTTGGCAGAAGCCTTTTGTTCCTTTGACCGGCTGCAGTTCTTTGCCGAGCAAAACCGATGCTCAGCTCAGGCAACTTCTCAGTTGGCGCTTGCCTGGACTAGGGCTCACTCGGCTGCTGATTCTTGGGCCCGCTGTGGGCCTCGCATCTCGAAGGTGTGTGCTGTGCCACTTTGCTCTGGCGCAGTGTCTTCTGGCAATTTGGAAGTTTTCTCGGCGAAGAGTTTGGAAGACAAGGCTTTGTCTGCAGCCTTGGACCGGGCAGTCGCGCTAGCCTGGCGCGTTGGACTCTCTGCTGGCCTTTTGCCCGAGTTGTTGTCAGAGTTGAAAGACAACGCGAAGTCACGCGTTTGCTTCGCATTATTCTTCTGGGGGCAAGTGGTGCTATCAGTACTTGGAGAGCCTCGATTCGGGCAGTCGAACGGCTTGAGAAATGGTTAGTTTCGCACGGCATTTCCATCCATGAATTGACAGGTGCTCGCTTGTCGCAATTTCTTGCTGACAGTGCGCATGGCGGCAGCTCTGTGCCAACATCCTTGCGGTCGGGGTTGAAATTGCTGTCGGACGCGCTGTTGTTGAAGTGGCCTTTGGACCTTCCAGCGGTGCTGGCCATCTGCAGGGTGTCAAAGCGGTCGGCTGTCGAAGCTTCCGCCGCTCAACAGCAAACGCTTCCTTGCCTGACAGTGGAGCAGCTGCAGCACCTGGAGTCGATTGGGTGCAGCCTACAACAGCCTTTGGCCATTCGATGGGGTGCTCTGCTGGGGTGTTTGTTGGCTCATGCCTGCTTGCGGTTTTCTGATGCGCAGCGGTCAGAAAAGATCAGGTTGGGCAAAGCGAGTTTGTATGGCTTTTGTTGGAGATCCAAGCGGCGCAGAACTGGCTTTCCTTTTGCAGCTCTGCGGGCCGGCTTCTCTGCTCAGCCTTGGGCGGACTCCCTGGTCGAACTCTTGGCGCATTTGAAGCTCAGCATGGCATGGTCGTAGATTATGTATTGCCGCAATTTGGGGCTCGTTTGGACAGTCCGCTGCCGAAACCTGCGACCTATTCCTGCGGTGTGGGTCTGCTGCGTCAGGCTTTGCAACTTCCGCCATTATCTTTGACCGAGGGTGACGCGCGCAAGTTGACTTTACATGCTTGCAGACCGCTTTTTCCAACCTTGGCAGGGCAAATGCTGATGTCAATTGAATCCAGAAGGGTGCTCGGTCACTGGGGGCCTAACAGTGCAGAACCGCTGCGGTATGACACTTCCCGCTGCGTTTCGGAATTGGCGTGCAAGGCCCAGGTTTCGTCGCAGGTCATTGCAGGCTGGCGGCCTGGCGAAGATTTTGAGCCACCGCCTTTGCCTGTTGAGCTTCCGCCGCCTCTGCCTGATTTGCCGCGGCCACAATTTGAGCCAATTCAAGGTGACGGTAGGGACATGACCACAGGCTGGGTAGCCAACGCCGAGCCTCACCGGAAAGGCAAGCCTCGATGTTTGCATATCCTTGCCCAGCCTGGTATCACCAAGTGTGGTTGGAAGTTCGGCCAAAACTCCCGAACACCAAAGACTTTTTTTGTGGTGAAGCCTGATGGTACCGAGTTTTCGTCTTGTGGTGCTTGTACAGCCCCGACCGCATTTCTCATTTAATTTCTGATGCTGGTACGATGCCGAGCCAGCCCAGTCGACAAGGCCGGCCCAAGACACGGCAGGCAAGCTCTAGCGCTGCTTCGTCTGGCTCAACTTCGGATTCCTCTAGCCGGGAATCCTCCAGTAGTGTAGACAGTGTAGGACAGTTGACTGCATCACGTTGATTTGAACTCCTCGCTTCCCTCACTGTGCCTGCCTCCTCAGCCTTGCTGTGCGAGCTGGTGTGTGCGGTTGCGGTTCAATTTGACAGGAATCCTGGGCCAAGTCAGGTCTTCTCCTGCTCTGGCCTTTGGGTATTGCTCTTGTTTTTTGTTGTTTCAACCCAACGTTTTCATCTCATTGCGGAAAGTTTCGTGCCATTTTTAACACTTTTAACGCTCTCCATATATTTCTCTCATTGCGAACCTGTCCGGACCTCAGATGTACAGATGGCGCAATTTCCTGACAACGAGCTCAAAACGTAGTGCGGCTGCAGACCTAATGTAAAGCAGTGGGTAGGTTTGGTTGGCGCGGATGATTTAGGGCTGGAACTGTACTTGCGCGGGATCACTTAGTCGAAGCGGTCAAAGCAGTTGAAACTTACCTGGCTAGTGTTCTCCGATGGAGGCGTCCATAGCAGAATTTCGTGAGAGGCAACCAGCTTGCGAGCCGTTGCCAACTAAAACAGCAGTTGAAGCAGTTGAACCGTAGCCACTTGCAGATCAATTCTTTTTTTCTCTCCTCCATCCTCCACTCCTCCTTCCCTGATGCCGTTGGAACGCGTGTTGAGTGAAATTTTGAAAGATTGCGGCGCGCCGCCAGCACTGTCCCAGTTCTTAGAAACAGAGGGTCTCACAACTTGTGCTTTGTTTTTTGATTGTGTCAAAGACGTGGATGAGTTGGAAGCCACGGTTGCTGCCAGAATCCAGCCTCCGGCCA